CTCTCTCTCTCTCTCTCTCTCTCTCTCTCTCTCTCTCTCTCTCTCTCCTGAACAACAAATAAACAGGACAAAAGACTACCATATACAGAAGTAATATAATAGGACCATGGGCTCCAGGACTCAGGCTCTATGACCTCAAAGAGGAAATAAAAGCCTGAGCCCTCTCTGCACATAGAGGGCTTAGTCCTCTCCTCCCTACTTGAATAGAGCCAAATACAAATGAGGGCCACCATATTTTCTTTCTGCTTTAAAACATGCTTAATAAGGCATAATTTTACATGCATTCTATTTTGATTCTTTTATCAAAAGACAACTGGGACATAGGAGACAACTAACAACTTTCAATACATGTGAAAGGAGGTGTTTTTCTTATACTATAGTTTTGTTCAAGCTGTCAGTATGAAGAGTTGGATATGACTTAACAACTCAGTACTGGTGCTTTCATCATCTTGAGTTTGCTTCATATCTTCTGTTTGGTCAAATTTTCAGATTCCTAGCTTTGAAATTCCTCATTCTATTCTAAGCAAGAGGCCGCAGAAGATAGCTCAATTGGGGGTGGTTTCTACCTCCTTGGGCTAGATGAGGCTACCACAGAGGCTCCAGGGGACTCCTGGTTCTTGAGATTTTCCCCATACTCCTCTCCTAACACCTATTTTGTAGGGAAAATAGAGATGCAGAGGATAAACCCTGGGCATGCTGCATGCTCTCCCAAGTCTTGCAGGTAGTAACTGATGCTGGATCTAGACTCTTGTTTTCCTTACTCCAAACACTATTTTATAAACTGAACTTGTTTCTACATAATGTTGGCAGAAATCTCAAGTGTCTCTTTGCTACATTTAGGAGTGTTAACAATAAATTTACAAAGGACATTGAAAAGAAAGACAATGTTTGGGATCCCAATGAATGGAATCCTTTTTTAATAAGTTAGAAAAACAGAATCTTTTTGGCAAATGCAATTCTCTGTCTCTATGGCACAGGTTTCAAAACCAACTCTGTGGTAGTACCTAATATCTTGAGCTGGTTTCAGGGACTTGGGGCTCTGATGTTGCCCAGTAATAATTAAAAACAAATTATCTAACATTTGTGTAGCATTTACAATGCTAAGCATTTCATAATTATTATCTCATTTGAACTTCACAACAACCTTGGGAGGTAGGTATTATTATTATTCCCATTTTGTAGATGAGGTTACTGAGGCAAACAGAGGTTAAGTGACTTGGCCAGGATTACAGAGCTAGCAAATATCTGAGTCAGATCTTCCGGACTCCAGGCCTGGTACTGTATCCACTGCATCACCTAGATGCCCAATAAGCCAGCACTTAATTAGTGCTTGCAAAGAACTTCACAAATATTATTTCACTGGATCCTCACAACAACCCTAGAAGGTGGGCATTGCGAGGAACCTTAGGTTAAATGACTAACGTAGGGTCTTGCAGGTAGTAACTGATGCTGGATCTAGACTCTTGTTTTCCTTACTCCAGGTTCAGCAGTCTCTCCTCTGGATCACCTAGTTGTTTCTAGGGCAGAGAGATGTGTCCAACTGCCTGTGGTAGCCCTTGTTAGTTACTTTGTACCTACTACTTCAAAACCATAGCCATAGGCTTTCTTGTCTTCTCTCCCCCAAAATTGATTTGACCATAAGCTGCAATGGGGAGTGTTTGAAGTCCTAGCTCCAGTATTGATTCCAGTCCTAAGAAAGCAGGTAGCTTGGGCATCTTCTCCTGGCACATGAAACCTCTTGCTAGGGATACCCTTGAGTTGTGTGCCTAGCTTCTTGGTGGGATAGTTTGTGGAGTATTTTGACAAGGGCAAATGTTAGCACCACTGACTGCAGATTGTGGCTTCTTGTGTAGTAGGCAAGACCGGGTCATGAGGAACTGAGCTTTTCCTCTGGTGTAGTCTTTGTACCACAACTGAAAGTAGTGATGAGCAGAAACCCATACTACTTTTTCATACATCTAGGTTTGGTACAGAAGCAGGCAGAATACTAGTACTTGAGGCTTCATGGGCTCCATGACACATCAGGGGAGTGGATGAGCTGGTTACCCTGCTCTCCACAGCTTTCCAGTGGACACAGGCCAATCATGGGGCTGTTTAGCTCAAAACAAAGAATTATTGCAACGGAAGAAACTAAGCACATCTTTTTAGGCATTGTTTCTGTTTGAGCCTTTTTAACAATTGGAAGGCAAGCTCTTCAAGTCTCCAAGTAAGATGTGGAAGAAGGAAAGGGTCTTTACCCCACCCCCGACCCACCGCACCCCACCCCACCCTACCCCACAGGAAACTCCTGAGGTGCAGTGGAAGAGCTCAAGAGTTCTAGACTAGTAGTCAGGAAGACTCCCATTCAAATTTAGCCTCAGTTTCCTCATTTGTAAGATGGGGATGATGATACCCCTGGCAGAGTTGTTGTGGGAATCAGATGAGAAAACATGTAACACATGCTTTATAAACCATAAAGCATTATATAAATGCTAGTTATTATGACTGTATTTTGTAAGTATTTGTTCAGTGAAATGGTATATAACATAACAATTAGAATGGTATCATATAATACCTGTAGTAAATAGAATCTTTTTAATGACATAGATCTTTGTATGTCTTAGCCTAGATATCTGTGTAGGAGGGCATGAAGTCCGGGAACATTCTTTCATGGGTAAGTAATGTGTTGAAGGCCCTGAACCACCAATGTGTTTCCATTTTCTTGTTTTGGACAGTAAAATCTTTCAATGAATTTGGATTAAAAAAAATTAGTGGGGTTGAATTCTTTTTAATGAAGTTATAAGTAGTAATTTATAGAACATTAGAGCCATATTGGACCTTAGAGATCAAGTCACCCGTTGTACTGATGAAGGAACTAAGGTAAGAGTGATGGAACTAGGATTTGAACCCAGATCTTCTGATTCCCAAGCTCAGTCCTATACTAACCAGTTAGCTGAATGTGAATTATTGACATATCCTTTTATTGTATAAGAAATGTCAAATTAGGGGGCCACTAGGTGGTGCAGTGGATAGAGCACTGACCCTGGAGTCAGGAGGACCTGAGTTCAAATCCGGCCTCAAACACATAACACTCACTAGCTGTGTGACTCTGGGAAAGTCACTTAACCTCAATTGCCCTCACCAAAAACAAAAAAAAGTCAAATTAAGGAGCTAGGTGGCACAATGGATAGAGCGCTCAGCCTAGTAGTTCAGGAACAACAGAGTTCAAATGGGGCCTCAGACACTTCCTAGATGTGAGACTCTGGACAAGTCACTTAACCTCCATTTGCCTGTTTCCTCACCTGTAAAATGGGGATAATAACAGCAGCTACCTCAAAGGATTGTTATGAGGATTAGATGAGATAATATTTGTAAAATATTTAGCACAGTGCCTGGCATATAGTAGCATTATAAATTTTTATTCTGTTTTCTTCTCTTCACCTTAAAATGAGAGTTAAAGAAAAAAAATGTCTGGTAAGCAAATTGATCAGAAAATACATACATACATACATACATACATACATACATACATACATACATACATGTCAGTATGTAGAAGGTACATAATAAATTCCAAGTGTTTTTGGAAGAATAAATACTCAACAGTTTAATGTATCCATGGTAGACTGAATAGTACAGCAAGAATAACAACATTGGAAAAGGCTTGGATAAATATTATTTTTTACTTCTGCCTACCTACTTTGTGTAAGTGGGGAACTTACTGTGGGGAACAGTGAATTAGGTAATTAAATTCAGTCCATCTTTCTCATTATTGCTTTCAAAGGCAGCCAAATTAAATCAGACTATTTCCATGAAAAACTCCAAAATTTGTACAGAGGTTACTTATACCACTTCTTGTTAAAGATTTAGGAGCCCAGACGTGCTAAGCTATGATTGCAAACAATGACAGGTAAACTGTTCTGTTGTACTATTTATTAAGGCCATAAATATAACAGACTAAAATTAATCAAAACACACTTTGCTAAACTCTGTGATTTTTAACTTATTCTCTCCTTCTATCTCCCTGACTCCAGCTAGTTATTCACAATTCTGACTGGTTTGTAGTGCAAACTACATCATTAGAATGAATTACGGATCCCATTCCAATTGCTGTGTGCTTATGAATGGTAATGAGATGCAAATAGCATGTTGGCTTACTAGTGAAATGAGAGGTTTGGCGATGCCTTACTCCTAGGTGTTTTGAATTGAAACTTGAGATCCAGTCAGGTTTATTGAGCTTTATGATGCAAAAATTGTCGATACCCCCAGTCTAGTTGTGGTATATGGTTAATATTCCTTGACTGAGAAATACACAATGAAAACTACTGAAAATTAAGTGAAACTTTAAAATTAATATTTTGTTGACCATAACATCTGTGAGATGTTGATAGAGAGCTGGCCTTGGAGATAGGAAGCCCTGGATTTAAGTTCTACCCCAGACTCATTAATCTCATGACCTACAGGGCAAGCCACTTAACTTCTCAGTATGACTATAATTATGTCACAGATGTGCTGCTGGTCTACACCAGTGGACAGTTTACTATACTGGAAGTTCCTTATGCCAATGAAATTGTACTTACAAAAAAAAAACTTAAACTAAAATAGCAACTACTTCCATTAGTTTTGTTTTTTTTTGATGCAATTGGGATTAAATGACTTGCCCAGGGTCACACAGCTAATAAGTGTCAGGGGTCAGATTTGAACTCGGATCTTCCTCACTCCAGGGCTGGTACTCTAGCTGCTGTGTCACCTAGATGCCCTAGTAGTTTCTTTTTTTTAAATTTTTATCTTCAGTTCTAAATTATCTCCCTCTGCTTCCCTCTCCCCTACCCATTGAGAAGGTAAGAAATAAACATACTAATTATTCATATGAAGTTGTGCAAAATATTTTCACATTAGCCAGGAGCAATTGTATACATTAAGGCAGAAAAGGCATGAATGTAGGTTATATTTCAGGCATAGGCTGCAAAAAGTATATTTGCTTATTTATTATGCTGAGTGATATTGCATATTTCCTTGTCTTGGGGAAAAAAAGTTCAAAATGGTTGCTAGATGGATAGATACTGGGCCTGGAGTTAGGAAGACCAGAGTTCAAATCTGCCCTTAGACATTTACTAGCTGTGTGACCCTGGGCAAGTCACTTAACTTCTATTTGCTTCAGTTTGCTTATCTATGAAATAGGAATTGTAATAGCACTTACCTCTCAGGATTGTTGTGAGGATCAGATATGATAATATTTATAAAAATCTCTGCAAACATTAAAGCACTAAAAAAATGCTAGTTAATTTTTTTTTTGTTGTGATATTCACAAAACCTTTGCAGTAATTCTGTGCCTCTCCTTCCCTATTCCAACCTGTTGTGTCCTCCCCCACATTAGCCCAGTGCCTGGCACATAGTAGGTGCTTAATAAATATTTGTGTACATAATAAATGCTCAATAAGTATTTGTTTCCTTCCTTAATTTCTCTAGTGTGAAGTAAAGGAGCTAGATTAGATAATCTCTAAGATTTCTTCCAGGTCTAACTTTGAATGATTCTATAATAGAAGAAAAGAATGGTAAGTTGGTTGTTCTGGTTTTTTTTGGGGGGGGTGTTTGTATGGACACTATCCATTGACTTCTGATTGGGAGATCAATTACTACCCTTTGCCTCTGTATCAGAGACTGAAAGGTAGAGAAATGCCCTGAGGGGAGAAGGGGAATCTGTAGTTAAGTTCCTTTCTTTATCTTTCTTAGAATAAGAGTAATTGGGAAGGAAGACTTTTCTAGATAGTTACCACCCTGAATTGGATTCTTCTAATTTAGGAAAGGTTTAAATCCAGGGTGGGGAAACCTGCATCGCGAGGCCCTGTGTGGCCTTCTAAGTCTTCAAGTGCTGCCCTTTGACTGAATCCAAACTTTTTGTTCTGCTAAGTTTGGATTCAGTCAAAGGGCAGCACTTGAGGACATAGAGGGCCTTACATGGCCTAGGGCCTCAGGTTCCCCAACTTTGGTTTAGATGAATAAATATTCATACGAAGAAACAGTTGCTTTCTCTTAGTGTCACTAAGAACTGAACAAGTCCTTGTGTAGGTAAGAGTGCCTCTTATCCCAAAGACTTAACCTTAAACTTTTGGTATGAATGTTAGTGCATTATTATCATTATTTATGGGCATTCCCTGTGGTGGTGGCATTGCTAGCAAGCTACATGTATGTAACATGACTGTTCCCTAGTAGTTTAAATAGACATAAGGACATAATGAAATAGTTTTTTTTAACAGAATCCCATTTATTTCCAGGCTCCTTAAGCCAGGAGCTGCAAAACATCATGGTGTGATCTCTTTGGCTATTTCCCAATGTTGTTGTGCTTACCCTGCAGTTTTTGGTGATTGGCAGTAAATTGGTGCTGCACCTTTAAGCCAGGAATCCGATTCCTGGATACTAAAGAACTTGAAGAACAGCTTTTAATTTGGAGGATGAGAAGAATGCATTTCTTGTCGTCTAGAAATGACAGTGAATCTGGGGCACTAGATTGGCATTCAGAAGATCTGGTTCAAGTTTCTTTCCTCTGCCGCCTGTTCATTGTCACCTTTGGAAGGTCACTTCAGACTTTCAGGACTTGTGTTATGTCCTCATCAGTGAAATTAAGGAGTTGGACCAGATGGTTACAAAAGTCTCCTTGAGTTCTGAATCTATGATCCTGAGTGTATTTCATGTCACTCACATACTCAATAAACTTCAGTGGCTCCCTGTTGCCTCCAGGTGACAACTAACTTTTGTCTCACTAGTTTTCAGAAGTTTTATCAAAGCCTGGCAAACCAGGCTTTGATAAAGCCCATTGGGATTCAAATGGAGCTACTTGACTATGCCTTGAAACCCAAAGGCTCTCACTGATTGGCGAATAAAAGGTCCCAGCCCAGGACCCACTTGATCTTCCTTAGGGTCCTCTGATTTCTAAGTACTTGAGCTGTTTATATCTGTCTAGAATGCACTAATGCAATTACATTTGATTCTTCATGCTTCAGAAATGATTTTCTTGTTTTAAATACGTTAACTGTTAATTCTTAAAAGTCATTGAATTCATTTTGTAGGAGAAACTTGAGTGGCCACTGTTCATTTTTTATTTGTAATTGAGAAATAAAGCTTTATTGATGCTATCTGCTTGCTTGGCTCTTTGCTAAGGTGATACAAATAAAAGCTAGCCAGACAGTCTGGCCCTCAAGGGGCTTTTATTCCAGTAAGGGAAGATAATAACTTTAAAAGTCCCCAGAAAGGGTGGGGAATATGGCCCTTAAGGGCCATAGTGTGGAAATGAGTGGCAAAATGAGGCAAAAATCTCACTTTTAAGAGCCTGAGGACCTGGGATCTGAGTCTAAAGTTCCCCATGGAGAGGAGGAGGAGAGAGTGGTCAAAGTAAAGAAAGCCTTGTGAGATGGCTGGAAATCTTTAATTATTATAATTTCTTCAATGATCTTATCAACATAATAGCTAACCATCCTATAACTTTATGATTAGCAGCACTTTACATAGATCATTTCATTTGCTAGTGTTTGGGTGTCTGGCCCTATTCCTTGGTGGTAGAGCAAAGCTGAGGATAGGATTCTCAGACTGCTCATGCAGGTCTGCCAGCTTGGTTCCTTAGGTTAGGCTGTCTTATAACTGATAAACTGCTAGTAGAAATTTCACCTGTTAAATGTC